CTTTTCCATGATTAGCTAGGTTTACCATGTATACATACTAGCCTTCGTGTGTGTGTGTGTATATATATATATATATATATATATATATATAGATTTGTAAAAGCTCAGTTGATACATTGGAATTTCATTCTTCCTCTCAAATTATCAAAGTATCAGAGCCTTGAGGGAATTTTTTTTTTCCTGCTTTTGTTATACACCCTTCATAAATTCTCTTGAGAATTTCTTTTCCAAATATCCTTTAGAGGATCTGTTGAGCTTGTCTTTTTCCTTCGTTCTTCTATTTTCGTTCACCAATATGGATAGCAACATATTTGTCAAATTTAATGGAAGAAATTGTGCTCTTTGGGAATTTCACTTTCGGATTTTTGTTGAAGGAAAGGGACTCTCTGTTATTCTTAATGGGTCTCAAACAGAAGCAGGTGATGTAGAGGCAAAGAGCAAATGGAGAACAAAGAATGTTCAGGTTGTTACGTGGATATTAAATTCAGTTGAGCCTGATGTTGCTCTAAGTCTTCGATCTTTCAACACTGTTGCAGCAATTTGGAAGCACATTCAAGGGGTTTATTCTCAAGTGAATCAATCAAGGCAATTCGACTTGAATATGAGATTGCAAATATGAGTCAAGAGGATAGGGATATCCGTAAGTTTTATGTTGAACTACTGAAGCTGTGGACTAAACAAGATATGATCTCTCCAAACACTATTTCAGGTGCATCATAGACAGAAGTTAAGAAAGAGAGAGATCGTGGAACAATGGTGTGGTTTCTCATGAAGCTTGGACCTGAATTTGAGATTGCAAGGGCCACCCTTATCAATCGAGGTAATTTGACTGTGGAATCTATGCTTGGAGACCTTGTTCATGAAGAAACTCGACTAAATACACAAGCTCAACTAGACACAAAATCCAATTCATTTGACTTAGTTTTTATCGCTTCACGTAGCAAATTTCAATCCAAATCCAAGCATGGAGGTAGAACAGATATTGCAATGAAAACGGTCATGTGCAATCTCATTGTTGAAAGTGCAATACATGTAACTGTTGCAAAAAGCCAGGACACATCATCGCAGAGTGTAGAATTTTGAAAAATAAACGGAGTCAATCAGCCTTTGTTGCTGTGGGTTGCGATCCAGAAAAGGGAAGCACAAATGAGACCTTACTCACTCTATAAGTGGTTCAAAAGATGATTCAAGAAACAATGCAAGCAACTCTTCCAGGTGCTATCTCTTCTGCTTTTTTTATTGCTGGGTTATCTGGTAAAGGAATTAAATGTAACCCTTGGTACCTTGATTCCATTTCCTTTAACCATATCTCTAGACAAAAACATGCTTTTTCTCAACTCAAACCTTATTCCTTGAATCACTCAATTACTACTGCCAATGGAAGAAAATTACTTATTAAAGGAATTGGTGCTATTTACTTAATTGAAAAATCTAAAAATTCCTTATGCTTACCTAATACTTTTTATGTCCCTCGATTAATTGCCAATTTGGTTTTTGTTGGACAATTAACTGATAACAATTGTTTGGTTAAATTTTCTTCCCTTGGTTGTGATGTATAGGATCTTCAAACGGGACAAATGATCATTAAGGGGCATAAACATGGGCGTTTGTTTCATCTTGATTTGGACCAAAAAAAAAGATTCTCTATTGTGCCTTATTGTCTCACCATCTACACCTGTTTCCTTCACCAATAATACATGGAATTTATGACATCGTCGTTTTGGTCACCCGCATGTTAGTAGGTTAGAGTATATGTTCAAGTTTAATGTTCTTCCAAAAAAATTGTGCGTTAAACCTGAATTTTTTAAAGATTGTCAAAGTTATGCTGTTGGAAAATTTGCCAAGTTACCCTTTGCTTTTAGTATTTCAATGGTTGATGCACCTTTTGATTTAGTGTATTGTGATTTATGGGGCCCCTCACCTGTTTTATCTCGACTTGGTTATAAATATTTTTGTTGTTAATTGATCAATTTATTTGGTTTACTTGGATATATTTCTTACGTGCTAAGTTTGAATTAACAAACATAGTCAGAATTTTTATTACTATGATTGAGACACAATTTGGGGAAACAATAAAAAATTTTCATTCTGATTCTGGAGGAGAATTTTATGCTTCCCAACTTATTAATTTTTTTCATGAAAAAGGAATTTTAGCTCAACAGTCTTGTCCAGGCACACAAGAACAGAATGGGATCATTGAACGTAAAAATCATCATATCTTAGAAATTGCTTGAACTCTTTTCCTTGACTCTTGTGTTCCTCCTCAATTTTGGGTAGAAACAGTTCATACAGCTGTCTATCTTATTAATCGTCAAACTACTCCGACGCTTGGTAATCAATCTCTATTTTTTCTCTTTATCATAGAACACTAGATTATTTACATCTTCGTATTTTTAATTGTGTCTGTTTTGTGCTACTTCCTTCACATGAAATAACAAAATTAACTGCCAAGGCTACCAAATGTGTGTTTGTTGGTTGTAGTGATAAACAAAAAGGCTATGTTTGCTATGATCCCCCCAGAATCAACGTATATGTGTTTCTAGTCATGTTACCTTTTTTGAAAATATTTATTTTTATATTTCCACTCCTTATCCAATAGGATCTAGTTCCTTAATTTCTTTTTTGCATGATTTTTCTAATTCTCAAATCGAGAATGATGATGCAACATCTATTGTGCTGCTCACTGATCCTAGTCTTGAAGGTCCTGTCTCCACCTTTTCCATTGATGAACCAATATCGAATCCACCACCTTTGAAAAGATCTACCCGTTCTAACTTTGGTAAGACACCTCAAAGCTATACTCCATTCTATTCCTTCTTTGCTAATTTAAACTCTGTCAAGATTCCTTCTACTTATAACCAAGCAATAGAACAAACATGTTAGAGAAGGGCTATAGAAGAAGAACTTGAGGCATTGAAGGAGAATTATACTTGGGACTTAGTTTCCCATACACTTGATACTTCTATAATCGAGAGTAAATAGGTTTATACTATTAAGGTTAAACCTGATAGCACTCTGGATCGATACAAAGCCCGCTTAGTAGCCTAATGATATAAAAAAGAACATGGGGTTGACTACAAAGAAACTTTTGCTCCTATTGCCAAAATAACAACTATTTGCATTCTTCTTGCTCTAGCATCATGCAAGCAATGGCCACTATACCAGTTAGAAGTGAAAAATGCTTTCTTTTATGGAGATTTGCAAGAAACAGTTTATATGGCGTGCCCTCCTAGTTATTCTCTCAATCCTAATATGGTTTGTAAACTTCGCAAATCACTTTATGGGCTTAAACAAGCCCCTCGAGCCTGGTTCGAGAAATTCCAGTCCACCATTTGTTCAATTGGTTTTCAACAGAGTTCTAATGATCACACACTTTTCATTCATAATTCTGATATTGGCATTGTTATCTTGGTTGTTTATGTGGATGATACGGTCATCGTAGGTAACGATCAGCAAGGAATTATAGAGTTGAAGCAGTTTCTCAAAGATTCTTTTCGTATGAAAGATCTTGGCACTCTTACCTATTTTCTTGGGCTAGAAGTAACATATTCCTCTCATGGCATTCTTCTTACTTAATGTAAGTATATTGAAGATTTACTCAAGTTGGCCAATCTTACTGATAATAAAATTTGTGCTACACCAATGGAACAAAACTTGAAATTAAAGCAAGATGATGGTGCACCTATTGCAGATCCTACTTTGTATTGATGTTTAGTGGGAAGCCTTATTTATCTCACTATTACGCGTCCTGATATCTCCTTTGCTGTCCAAGTTGTTAGTCAATTTGTTTCTCACCCTAGGCAGCATTATCTCTCCGTTCTTCATTGTATACTTCGTTATTTGAAAGGTACTTATGATTGAGGATTGCATTTTCCTTCAGACAAGTCTCACTCTCATGGCATATGCTGATGCTGACTATGCTAGATGTGTTGATACTCGGCGTTATACTATAGGATGGTGTATCTTTTTGGGTAACTCTCTTATCTCTTGGAAGTGTAAGAAGCAAGAATGAGTGTCAAAATCTTCCACCGAGGCTAAGTATTGCTCCATGTCCTCTGTCAATTCTGAGGTTGTATGGATCAGAAACTTCTCTTGGAACTAGGCATTGCTTGTTCTCACCCTGTCACTCTTTTTGGTTATAAAAATAGTGCTATCAGCATTGCCACAAATCCAATACACCATGAGCGGACTAAGCACATTGAGGTTGATTGCCATTATATTCGTGAATTGGTTCATGATAAAATTCTTAGTCTTGCCCATGTCTCCTCTCATGATCAAATTGCTAACCTATTTATCGAGCCCATGTCTTTTGCACAACATGCATATCTTGTGAGCAAATTGATGCTTGTTGACAACCATCATCAATTTGAGGGGGATATCAGCAGGAGCAGATCTTGCTAGTATCAGCAAGAGTAGATCACGCCAATAAATCCAGGACACGATTTAAATCCCCCAGCCAAGCTAAAATCTCTCCTGAAAATCAGATTATATATCACTGTTTCATGATTAGCTAGGTTTACTATGTATAGATATTAGCCTTTGTATATATATGTATATATAGATCTGTAAAAGCTCAGTCGACATATTGGAATTTCATTCTTCCTCTCAAATTATCAATTCGGGAGCAAGAACCTGATTTCTTTCGGAATAACTGCTGCTTGTCTTCTTTACATTTTTTGCAAAAATAAATTAAAAAATTATGAAAAATCTAAGTATAGTTTCTTGTTTCTTTTCCTTGACTTACAAAAAAAAAAAAAAAAAGAAGAAGAAGAAGAAGAAGAAGAAGGAAAGATGGATAATTGAAAGTAACAATAATTGAGTGAGTGTCATTTTCTACTGTACAACATTCTTTTATTTTCACATAGGCAAAAACAATCAAATTCACATCAAACCCGAATATATATATATATATATGAAAAAAAAAAACCCATACATGAGACAAACAGAGAAGAAAGCTCCTGTAGAAATGGTCATCGTATTTATGTCCTTATTGTCAATTGTTAATGATTCTGTTCAAGTCCTTGTTGTTGCTGAAGACGAACCAACTTAAAATATGAACCGTCTTTGTTTTCTATGAGACTAGAATGAGTCCCTTGCTCTATTATTTTTCCGTCTTGTATAACTGATATTTGGTCTGCATTCTTTATAGTCGATAGCCTATGTGCCACCATAACTGTTGTTCTATTCCTCATCAACCTGTCCAGAGCTTGTTGCACAATACGCTCGGACTCCACATCTAGAGCACTAGTGGCTTCATCAAGTAGCAAGATTTCTGGATTTTTAAGGACGGCTCGGGCAATGGCCACCCTTTGCTTTTGGCCACCCGATAGTTGCACCCCTCGTTCCCCAACTTTGGTTGAGTAACCCTCAGGAAGAGAACTAATGAAACTATGAGCATTAGCATGCTTAGCCGCTTCAATTACTTCAGCTTCAGAGGCTTCTTCTTTCCCATATAAAATGTTTTCAAATATCGATGTAGCAAAGAGAGCTGGCTCTTGCTGGACTAGCCCTATGTGCTTTCGAAGAGATTTCACCTTGAGTTTCTTGATATCTTTGCCTGTGGGAATTCCGACAAGATGCCAATCAGACAGACAGCTTTTAAGAAATTGTGTGGACACAATTAAGTGGATGGCGGCAGCATATGGCAAAATGTTGGTGTTTGGTACAAGATGTCACCAATTCTAGATTTGAAGAAATATATAGCTGCTATAGATTTGAAGAAATTCGTATCACATGTAATAGTAAGTGGAGTCCAAAGAAACTCACCATCGATCATCACTTTTCCTGCTGTTGGATCGTAGAATCGAAGTATCAGAGCAAGGACAGAGCTTTTGCCAGAGCCACTTTGTCCCACTAAAGCCATACTCTTGCCTGAACGCACTTTTAGATCAAAGTCCTTGAAAATCAATGCATCTGGTCTTGAAGGATAGCTAAATTGAACACCTCGTAACTCTACTGTACCCTCCACATTTTTCAACTCTTCGCCTGCATCTCCCTCACCTGTGTCTTGCGATCCAGTATATCGAAGACAGAAGCTGCCATTTGGTTCCCTTTCAGAAGATCTGGCGCCAATGCTAGAGTTTCACCCATGGCTAATGCAGTTACAATCAAAACCATAAATGACTTCATGATAGATTTAAAGCCAGCAAGCTCCTTCTCCATCAGAACAGAGCCGTACCTGCAAAAAAATCAAACAACAATAGGCATTGCAATTTGCTTCAAGCTCTTCAATCGAGGCAATAGCCAGCTGGAGTTACATCATTAAAAGGAATAATGCATGAATTTTCTGGTGTCAGGCATTTTGGTGGCAAGTACCAAGTGAAGATGTTAAGTTAATATATTGTTAAACAGACTGTCTCTGCCATTAACTCTCGAGATAATTTGCTAGTTCTTCAAACACAAAAGCAAAGAAAAGAAGAAGCTGCTTGTTTTAGTTATAGGATGGATGCATTTGGTAGTGCAATGCATTGTTGAAATGCATTTTATATGAACATCAACATAAGAACTTCCCTGCTTTGTTCGCCGAATTGATCTGTACGTGATGCATGATTCATATGTGATCCACGACAAATTGAAAAGCACTAAACTTGGATATAAATTTCAACATAATTAACATAGAATGTTTTCCTGCTCGCTGGAAAGAGTGGTTGTGATTATAAATGGCATTTTCAATTTTTTTTTAATTACCTTAAAGAAGAAGAAAATTGAAAGAGTTCTGTTCCATTTGGTTTTATGTCTGGTTCTCACTGCTTTTGTTTGATGAAAGAATGATAAAGGTAAGTTAATTTGATCTAAGAACCAAGTGGTTATTTATTATCCGATGATCTGAATTTAAAATAATAAGGGTTCTAAAGACGAAGATGAAGGAACATACCATAAGGCAAGGCCATAAGATGAGAAAATGAAGAACTGGCATATGCCATAAAATATGCCGGCAATCTGACCACGAGTGAATGAGTTCTTGGAAGGCTCCACAAGCTCCCGGGCATAAAGGTCAAGTATCTTTTCTTCAGCACAAAATGCAGCAACGGTGCGAATGTTACTCACAGCCTCACCAGCCAGCATGTTAGCCTTTAGATATGCTTTGCTCAAGTTGCCACCATAGCCTTTCATGAAGAGTTTCTGAACATATTAAAAAAACATATGTGCGTTCTTAGATTGCGAACAGAAAGTTTGCTTCTCTACAAATAAGTGCAGGAAAGTAGGGAAACCTCGCTTATGTGACCACTAATGATCAGTGGATATGTGGCTATGACAACAAGTGTGATCCTCCAGTTCAACATGAAGGCGATGACAAATGAGGTGACAACCAAACCAACATTGTGCAAGAGAATAGTTGATCGATCAACAACTATAGTTCTTAACAAAGTTGCATCACTCTCAAGACGTGATGCGAGCATAGAACTTGTATTGTTCAAATCATCAAACCATCCTATCTCGTTCCTCAAAATGGCTGTAATCAGAGCCAGCAGAACAGTCAAAATGAGTAAAAGAGTTCAAATTCTAAACTAATGAGCAATTCCGCAGTTCATGTCCTGTATTTTGCCAGTCCATTGAACACCACAACGAGTCACTGATGCACCATGTTTGTGATGAAAACATGATTAATGGAAGAAAAATCAAACCCATTTGAGCAAAGTTAAGATTCTAACTACCCTCTCTCGAATACTTAACTTGAGTTTATTATGCATTTAATAGAGAAACCGCTCTCCAAATATTTTTTAAGCAAAAAATTTCTGGTAGGAGATACAAATAAAAATAAAGCTCTCTCTACGTGATGAAATGAATGCTATTAGTTAGAAAACTGGTAAAAATAAGACCAAGCATTTACCGGAGAACATCCTTTCTCTCACACGAAGGGTGAGTCGCTCTCCCATGATTCCAAAAGAGAGATGTTCAATGCTGTAGACGATTTCACTAATTGCTGCACCACAGCAAAACAGGATTGCAATCTTCTTGACTTCATGGCAAGTTGTGTCCCAGTCCATGTAGTAGGATACGAGAGCTTGAGTGACTCCAAGAGCGAAAAGCGGCATCTGGGATCCGGCAATAAATGCACCGATGGTGCCTATTACTCCATAAATCCAATCAGGGCCAACCATGGAATACAACCTTTTCAACGAAACACTCCTCGTCCTCATGGGCTCCAATCCATCAAAACCAGCCCGGCTAACTGAATCCTTGTCAGATCGAAAACTTGCTCCAAAGCTTGATCTTGTGTAGGATAATTCTCGAGAATACCTCATGCTGAAAAGTAATCAAGAGTAAAGTTACTAAATACAGCTTCGTCATAACAATAATATAGATAAAATCAGGACATTTGGTGTACATTTTCACTCTTTTAAGCTCCCTTTATGATACCGTACAACGGAACTATCATTTTCAATACAATGCACTACTTCAGTAACTCAAGGTTTCCAGCACCAAGTGGCTTTTGGTAGAAACAAGTCACTTTGTGTCAGATATAGCAGTCCGTATGAAGCATTAAACCTGGTAAAAACTTGTCAATTACCATTAGTGAAATGGTTGTCATTTTTCAGCAATAACTTAAACATGGAAAGGGGTATGGTATAGTTGCTTGTAAACTCAGAGTCATTTTATTCAGAGTAATTTTTCCATTCAATCCACCCCAAAAAAGAACAGCTCTTTTAATTATAATGTTTGTGCAGCTTGATTATTGGAGCCACTTTCTAAGTTAATGCATAAATATTCATCAGCTAAAGTAAATGGAATTAAATTGAGCAGTTCAATTTGACGCTTGATTTCATCTATACTGAATTTTTCAGGACATAAATGAATACCTGAGTGGTCGTCCAAGTGAGGGATGGCGTTGCAGGGAAGCTGTCTCCTGGAGATGAATGAGTGAAGCATAGGTACTTTGAGGGTTTGAAATGAGCTCCTCGTGGCTCCCAATTTCTACTATCTTCCCTTCCTGAACCACGGCAATGACATCTGCATTCCTTATTGTAGAAAGCCGATGAGCTACAACTACAGTAGTTCGCCCGACCATGGCACGATCAAGAGCCTCTTGCACACTTTTCTCAGATTCAGCATCCAGTGCGCTTGTAGCTTCATCTAGCAAAAGAATGGATGGATTTTTCACGATAGCACGTGACAGTGCAATCCTTTGCTTTTGCCCACCTGACAATTGTATTCCTCTCTCACCAACCTGGAGGTACATAAAATTATTTTTCCACATGAAAATCCTTCCTCATATTCTGTTTCCTGTATATACAATTTGTGATTGAAGCAATTTTCATGAAGTTCATTATTAGGCTCTGGACGTCACTAAGCAATTTGCTCATGCATAGAGAAACTATTCCATCTGATAGTCCTATGCATATAGAATTGTCACCTTTTCTTTTGCATCGATTACCAAGAACTTGAAAAGAAAGAGAAGGTGCAGTTTCGATTCTTCTGTGTATGTCATAAATTATGTAATAGGGTATTATTAGTACAGGATCCGTGGATAGGCATAACTGGTTATTAGAAGATATATTCATGCTTTCAAATTTTAAGAACATCTCTAATTGAATATGTTATAGTGACCATAATTAGTACCTGTGTTTCAAATCTGTCCGGGAGATTGTTGATAAAAGACATTGCTTCTGAAAGTTTAGCAGCACGTGTAATCTCCTCAAGGGTGGCATCATCTTTCCCATAGAGAATGTTCTCTCTAATACTTGTTGCAAAAAGAGCAGGCTCCTGATTAACTAGTCCTATTTGCTGCCTAAGCCACTTGAGGTCAAGGTCCCGAATGTCATTCCCATCTAACAGTATCTTTCCAAATAAAGGCTCGTAGAATCGTTCGATCAAAGATATTACCGTGCTCTTTCCAGACCCACTTCCTCCGACAAGAGCTACAATCTTCCCAGAAGGGATATCTAAGCAGAATTTATCGAAGATCGTTACATCAGGACGAGAAGGGTACCTAAAACGCACATCTTTGAATTCAATGTGGCCATCAACTTTATCTAGCTTTAGACCAGATTCTGAGCTGGTTTTACTCATCGTGTTCCTCTCTATCATCTCAAAAACAGGGTAGGCTGCTGCCGTGGCTCGGAGAAATGAAGAAACATCTGGTGCAGCCATTCCCAGTGACCTGAAAAGAAATGAGACTGAGTAGTTAATGTCCTAGATCATGATTTTGGCTGGAGAATTCAAATGCAAATTATTCAACTGTCAAGGATACATAGGACAGAAATATTCATGAAATAGATCGTTTTCTAATATAGCTTTCAGTTGCTAATACAATTTCCGTAGTGTTCAAATCCATTCTCTTAAAACTGAAAAACGAAAAATTCGAGCATTCTCCTGGAATCATTGTTGAAATTGTACAAATGAGGAGCGAAACCCCATTTAAACCCATTACAAATGCAAAATTCATTACAATTAACACTGAGCTGACTAAATGTCACGTCAACCACTGTTGAACGGAATTTGTTTTGTTCAAGATTCTGTATCAGTGGAGATGTTTGAGGTCTTCGTAGAATATTAATTATGATGCTAATCAACAAAAGAAAAAGGGGGAAAAAAAAAACACACACACACACACACAGTATATGACTCAATTTCCATGAAATATGAAAGGAACCACAGACAAAGATCAAAGAGAACACTTACAGGCCAGAAATAACAACATTGAGCATAGTGGTGAAAGCGTCGCCACCATTAGCAATATCCTTGTGGACAACTATGCTAGTGTACCAAACAAGCAATGCCCATGATAGGAAAAGAACAGAGTGCAGGGTCCCTAGTCCAAGACCCTTGGCCAGGCCTGCTTTTCTCCCATACTTGTACGTGTTTCTGAGAGCTTCTATATATGACCTCACAGCCTTATCTTCTCCTGCAAATGCTTGCACTGTTCTAACATTTCCGATCACCTGAATCAATATCATAAACAATGAGAAGAGATTGACTTTTTTGTATTTTGTCAGTCGCATTTGATTTACAATATATAACAAAAATCAATATTCGATACAAATGCCTTAATTTTAACTAATCAGTGTAGAGAATTGTATAAGAGATACCTCCTCAGCGATTTGGCCAGCCTTGACGTAAGATTTACGAACTTTAGCAATAAGGCCGATTGTTATGTACGCATAGATGCCACCAGCAAGTGCGATTAAAGGGACTATCGACAGTGTCACCAGACTGATTTGCCATACCCTAATAAACCCAATTATGAATCCACCAATAAATCGGCTTATATAGTGGATGAAATTCCCAACCTGCATCATTCACCACAATTCAAGTTACAAAGAAATGAGGGAGAATTAGATACTTGTTTCACACACCAGCGCAGTGAGTTTAAATTTGACAGACCGGCATAATCAGTATAGCAGTACGCATGAATATTCAGAAGCATTGAAGCAATTTACTGTACGGGATAGACAGAAAGTTCAAAATTACTCTTGTGGATTATGTGGTCTGTCTATTCTGCAATGGCTCAAACTTCAGTTATTATTGGTTTTTAGCACCTTTTCAAATTAGTTCCATCCTTAGAAGGACCCCTCTAGAATTTCCACACAGAGATATCTACTTCAAACCCTGAGAGGGAAGGGATGGATTGAGGGAATCGAAGAGGACTATCCTCATTGAGCAGTCCAAGGACAATTAAGCCTCCTATTTATTTATTTTTATTTCTTTTGTCAAATTCAAAAATGAAACGAAGCAAGCAATTTGAGCGTCTAAAAGAATTTATGACAAAGTTTCCACTGCATGTTCTGATTTGAGCACAGTCACACACTGATGACTGCGGACTGCACTTCCATGTTTTCAACCAGACAGGACTCTACAGATCTGAGTAAAAGCCTAAACCAAACACATCCAAGCATCCAACAATTAACCGGCTTATAAATGCCATTTGCCTAAATTTATTTATTCTCTTCTTCGTTCAAAACAAATAAATAAATGCATTCATTTATACCTTAGAGGATAGGAGAATGCAATAATAATAAAATAATTCAATTCCACAGCCTCACCGCTTTTTCACATCCACCTTTCAACCACACCCGTTTCAATTTATTTTTCATGTCAACAGTTATTATTTATTTATTATTATTATTATGGGTCTAGGTGTCCGGTAAACCTTCATGTCAACAGTTATTATTATTTTATTATTATTATTGGGTCTAGGTGTCCCGTAAACCTTATTGTCACTGCTGACACATCCATTGGCAGTTATTATTATTATTATTATTATTATCATTTTCAAAATTAGTTTGCTATCTATATGCAGAGGAAATTATAAATTAGTTCCTTTAATTTTGAAAAGAAAAAAACAGAATTAATTAAGCATCCTTGTTTCCAAAATAATTACTTAATTTTAAATTTTTTTATAACTTAATCTTTTTTTCATTCTTTTTCAATTTATTTTGATTTTTTTGTTTTAAAAAGAAAAATAATAATTAAAAAAATATTGAAGAATTAATGAGAAAATATGATTTTTTTTTTGAAATACAATAATAATAAAATAATTTTAAATAAAATAATTATTTTTTTTAAAAAGGAATTAATTAATTTGTTTTTTTAAAATAAAGAGACTAATTTATAATTTACTCTATCTAAGCATCGTTTGCAAAATTCCTTTTGATCTGAACAATGAAAACCCATCAATTTTGGACTGATCAAGTTAACTAAAATTGTAGCTAGGAGTAATTAAAAGAAAGGCAAAAACAATCTCAAAAAAATTAATTAAAGTTCCATATTGCCAAGGAATTTCAGGACAAGTAGACAAGATTGTACTTGAATGCAATATATATATATTCTTCGTTTTTTTGTTTTTTTGTTTTTTTTTGGGTGGAATGGTCAATATATATATAGACCATTCCACCCAAAAAAAAAAAAAAACGAAGGAAAGATATTATAAGGATAAGGAAACAAAAAATTTATGGGTCTCAACTAACTTGGTTGCCGAAAATCAATACCACTTAGCTGGAGTTGATTAAAAAACTCGAAAAGGTCTGCGCTAATAAAAAAATTAAAAATAAAAATCTATGTTTAACAAATACTAGTGAAGTGAATTATCACAAAGGATTAAATTAATCACCATTTACACACAGATTGAATTTTGAAGAGAGAGAGAGAGAGAGAAGAATGAATAGTATTAAGCATGCATATTTAAAGCCAAAGCCAAAAAAGGAAAGATAGAAATAGCAATACCTTTTCAGAAAGAGCATCTTGCACAACAATAATATCACTTGTAATGGCAGCTATGACCTCTCCGGTTGAAGCTTCAGTATCAAATAAACTTATATCTTGACTCAACATTGATTTTAGATATGCCATTCTCATCTTCGCTGCCTGTCTTTCTCCAGTATGCATCCAACATGCCACCTCTATTCATATTTATAGCATACATATATAATTATCAAGGGTTATTACCGTAAATATTGATTAGCAAATAACAGACACCTGAGATGAAAAGATTAAAAGAATTTGACCTAGGGTTTAATCTTTAAATGTCGCTGTATAATATACTATCATGAAACACAACAAATAAATTGATTGAAGAAACTAAAACATTAATTTGTGCTTACCTATCCATGATGCGAACAATATAACCACACTGAGATATACAAAGTCCAATGAGTACTGCAACAAAATAGACAAGCCAAGTCATAACAATAATAATAAGAAGAAGAAAGTAAAACAAAAATTAATTAATTAGTTGATCATGATGTTTCAAATTAACAAGACTAAGGCGTTTCAAAAAAAAAAAAAAAAAAATTAGGAAGCAAGAGAGATGAGGGAGGACGAGGATGGGAGGTGCAAGGAAATTGGTGTATATATGTTCGCATGCATGATATGGACAAATTTTAGCAAACCTTTGCTACTTTATGAGAAGCTTCCTTGGGAAAGAGATAAGCCAATCCAACGATGTTTATCAACTTTCCAAAGAAAATGAAGAAGACAGGGACTGAAGCTCCATGAACACATGCACCAAGAGATCCCAACCCCATTAACACATAGTCGTAAAAATCAGCAAAAGCAAATAGTTTCCAGAATGGAACCTTCTGTTCCTTCTTTTTTCCTTCCTTCTTCTTCTCTGCATCATCTGTGTCTTTAATATTGCCTGAAAGTGAACTCATTCTGGACTGAAATTGAAGAACAGATGATAGTAATGATAGTATTTATAAGAAGAGAGTGCCTGTAGCAAAGAAATTAGGTGTAATGTTCCATGAAAATTTGGCTTAAAGGTGTGGATGAAGAGAAGGGTATTAATTAAAGTTGTGAAAGGGGAAGGAGAATAATAATTGGGGAGGTTATAGCGTGAGATGTTAGATGGGTCATTTATTAGTGCAAACTTAGCAAAGCAGGTTGACTATATATATACTGGTGAATGAGGATGAGGACTGTCCTGTGACTGACTGTTGATGTTGTTGTTGTGATGTCCACCGCATTAAGGGAGTGAAGAGACTCATCTGTCTTTTTAGATTTTGGAGATTAATCGCTGATGGGATTGTTTCAACCTATCTTCATATTTTTAGTTCTAGTTCTATACTCACTGTCAGAGATACGAGAATTAGCGACGGTCTAGACTATTGTTAAGTTTTAAAAAATTGTCACTAAATAAAATTAGCAACAGCTTAAAAAGTTTATTGCTAATTTTTTAGAGACGGTTTTTTCAATCCGTCGCTAATTTAGGTACGAAAAAAACCATCGCTAAATCTGTTGCTAATTTAATGAAAAACCGTCACTCGAAAATTGGACAAATTTATGATGATTTTTATAAAAATATCGCTAAAAATGTCACAAAATCTACCTAATTTGCGATGGTTTTAGCAACTCGTTTATCAAAATGATTGCTAAAATTGTGATTTAGCGACGATTAAAACCATCACTAAATCCATTGGCATTTTTTTTTAATTTTTTTAATATTTACCTGAATTTTAATTGTTTTAAATTAACCTACTCCAATTTAAAAACTAAAAAAAAAAAACCAATACATAATATTTTTAAATATTACAAAATTATAATAAAATATAAAATTTAATAAAATAAAATATATATTAAAATATTAAATATCGAAAAAGTATAAAGTTTGTTAATATTACAAGAAAAAGAAAACATAAAAGCTAGGAGTGACCAGGTAGGGTTGTCAATCGGAGGTTGGGTGGAATCCTCGATTGGAGGCTTAGTGGATGAACCGCCTCGCAATATATTCAGCAACATTTATTGCATCTACTCGCATCATCGAATGTTGCTCCTTAGTGTACTCTTTCAACTCATTTGTAATAGCTAAAAGCCTTGTAACGGAACCCTTTAGATACTAGATTTGTTCCGCATGTTTAGAAGTACAATCCTTCAATTCCTTTTGCCGAGCCTCATTATCGACATGAAATCGTGAAATGGCCTAACTACGGGATGTACCGACATTAGAGTAATTATAAAAGGCTTGTGACCCGAGTCCATACATCATCTTTCTCTCACTATCTCCTCCTCCAACAGACTTTCTTAAAAATCTCATTCATGTCGATGTCGATCGATAAAGTACCCACTGTTTGTCGACTAATAACCTCCTCCTCAATTATTTTTTTGATGGTCTCTCGCATAAGTGCACAAAATAGCTATGTAAATAAGATATATATGGTCTCCAACAACTTTTGTAAATTAAATAAAATGACATACATATGAAATGACTTTATAAATTAATAACTTACTCCAAGAACTCTTACTCATTAATCGATGAAGATGTATCGATCATCAACGTTTTTCTTGTGAGTCCTCAAGAAAACCTCGTGAGCACTAGGTTCACGACCCAACTCATCACGCTAAAAAAAATCTACTTAACTCGTAAGAAATATACTTAAATGTTTAATTCATTATATTGAAATCATTATAAAAACCACACACACACACACACACACGGATATATATATATATATATATATATATATATATATATATATATATATATATATATAAAGATTTACCATGCGTATTGCTTGCTCTCTATGATCGATCGAACCCCCGTATGTCTAGATAGACTAGCTTCGACGCCACTAGTCTCGCTTGCGGTTTCGGGCCGCCATCTTAGATCACGATTTCTTAATGTTTTCCTCGAAATTCTTCTCTCACATAAATGACTTCGCAAGAAAGGTAATAATATTCATTAGTACATTTAATTAAATATTAATATTTTCTTATTTAAATATGAAGTCATATAATAAATTAATTAAAAAAGTACTACCTTAAACTCTTGCCGGTAGAAGTCTTTCATTTTTGGACTCATTTTCTTTCACGTCTATCCGGATATATCAACATTCTCATGGAAAGTCTTAAAGATACGACAAATGTAAATATCGAAAGGATGTAAGCTATGAAAGCTAACATTAAATAACATTTAAATCAATGCATAATTATAGTAATACAAAAAAATATATTTTATAAAATTATGCATAAAACGTACTCCTTGCGACTAACAATAATGATTGTAATTCGAGGATCAATTATGGATCCTATAGGTTCAAAAGCTAATCTAGGAGGGACGTTCGATAATGAGCCTTGTTTAGAAACATGACGGTCATCCTATTGGACCGAGGGCATTGATGACGATAAAGGGTAAGATGGATGGGGACGTGGAGGTCCAAAATAAAACGGCTTAGGCGAGAGGCATATCAAACGTTTATGGGGTTGACACGGGGACACCGAAGGGTATTAAGGAGGCATGTCGATGCAGCGGGGGCATCCAACCAGAAATGGAAGCAAGACTATACCCACAACCATGGTCACTACCATCGTCACTAACCGAACCACAACCCTCACCATATAACATGGGTCACTATATATAGAAACGTCTCCTATAATGAGGTATTACAATCTACACATTATGAAATTAATTATTTAAAATATTAATATTAACATATAACATTGATATTAATATAAACAATTTGAAATATATTTATTTAACAAAGAACAAATAAATTAAAACATGGACACATACATATATTTAAATGCTATCTCGAAAAATTAAAAGTAAACCGTGTAGGACAATAAAACCATATCACTAATCATTTTCATGGTTATCATTGTTAGACATGGTAACGGTTCGGTTCGAATCGTAAATCAAACCGAAAGCTGTTAAAACCATAACCTTGACCAAATCGGATCGTAATCGACTATCTACGGGTTGGATATGGTTTAAGGTATCATGGAACTAGAACCGGCGGTTCTAAACCAATGGTTAACCATAGAACTAGCGAGTTCCATATCTTTCCTAATAAATTTGAGTTGGGTTGAAAAAATGAAAAAATTTAAATAAAAAAACAATTTTATATTGGTCGGACGAGTAGCTATTAGACTGAAAAATAGAAAAAAAATTAAGCCTAATAATTTTTAATTTTTGGGCTTAATATATATATATATATATATATATGTGATTGTTTTTTTCAATAAATACACTCAATTTTTTTATTCTCCTTACAACTCAATCTCTCATTCTCTCTCGATCTCTTAAACTCTTAAGTCTAGAATTCTCAATACTTTCCTACAATATTTTTTATACTCCAAATACTTCTTAAATTTTTTACATTTATATTGTTTTAGACTACAAAAAATGGTAAGTTCAAGTTCACATATGGCATCACAACAAAGTAATACCGCCAATCAAAATCGAGCAGGGGAGCAACAACAACAATCAAATTTTACACCTAGATCATCCGACATCTTCAAAATTCATTTCTCAAAAGTTCATTTAGAAAAAAGGCATTTTTACTATGATTTGTAATTACTGCAACAAGCAATACACATTCAAACAAGAAGGTGGTTATGGAACATTCAAAACTCATTTGGAGAAAAAAGCATCCATCCGTACTTGGTAATGATAAACATCGGACACAAATATCCGGGTTTGCTTCTCAATCTTCCTCTTTATTTCGATATACTCGATAAAAAAAATAAAGAAAAAATGGCTAAAATGATATGTATTGATTATTTATCTTTTAGTTTTGGTCAAAAAAATAGGTTTTAGTGATTATTGTTCTAACGCTTTGAATCCTACTTTCAAACAAGTTGAAAGACATTCTTTAAAAAAAATAGTTATAAAATTGTATAGAGATAAAAAAAGAGAATTAACTGGATTATTTACAAATTTAAATGGTCGTATTTCTATATGTTACGATATATGGTCCGATCAATGGAAAACTCACTCCTTTATAGGTGTAACTTGTCATTGGATTGATAATGAATGGCACATGCAAAAACATCTTCTTGCATTTAGAGTTTTTGATGATAAACATACCGCTCAAAATATATATAAGATATTAAAAAGGATTTTAGATGAATATGTTTTACCTTTAAAAATATTTTCAATTTCTTTTGATAATGCTAGTTCTAATGATGATTCAATAGACTCTTTAAAAGAACTTTGTCAACCCCATTTTGGAGGTAAGTTTTTTAATATTAGATGCGTCTATCATGTTTTAAATTTATGTGTGCAATCTGGTTTGGAATATTTTAAGGTATTGTTAGGCCAATTAAAGCTCTTGCTAAATATTTATGGGTGCATCCCCAAAAGATGAAATCATGGGGAAAGTTTTGCAAAGAAAGAAACAAAAACCCAAGACGATTTTCAAAAGATGTTCCAACTCGTTGAAATTCAACTTATGACTTTCTTAGGTAGTCATTTGAATATCAAGATTTATTATGATTATTTTTTTCAGAAAATATTGATTCTGTTTTTATTTGTTAAAATGATTTTGATATTTGCGAACCACTTTTGAAACTTTTAAGTGTTTTTAATAATGCAACATACACTTTTAGTGCCGTTGATCAACCAACTTCACATTTATTTATGATTGAAGCAATTAATATTGTTGAAGCTTTTCATCATGTAAAACAAGGTATGCCAACTTTACATGATGCTTGTTCAAATAATGAAACAAAAATGGTTAAGTTATTATGAAACAATTCCACCTATTTATCTTGTTGCTTTCGTCTTTGAATCTAGATTTAGAATGGAAGGTCTTTCTGCTGTTTTGAATACTTACTATGAGTATTTGTAATTATTTGATAGAAATATAGAATTAGAAACTACTTATATTATAAATCGAGTTAGAAATTTATATATTGAAGTGTCTTTAACTATAGG